TCAATTTCTTATTTCTGAAGATAATGTGGGATAGTAAATGTGACTTCAGATAAATGTTGCAAGAAATAATTGAAATGTGTAGACATATTTGTTGAATCCAAAGAAAATGTTCAAAAGTAAAAATGCATATATGTATACATGTGTGTTTATTTGTATTCATTTTTATTTGAAATATACTCACATATATATGTACACAATAACAGAATCATTTATAATCTCATATTTTGAATGAAAGGAAACTTGAAAGTTGGAGAGGATAGAAAAAATACTAATTCTACAGTACAAAGGGAATTGATATTATTGGAGATGTAGAAAAGAACAAAAAGCACCAGAAATATAAGTATGTGAGTAAATATAAAAGACAATTTTCTTTGCGTTCTTTAAAAAAGCTAACCACTTAGGTCAAAAGCAAATACATTTTGGGGTGCCTGGATGGTTCAGATGGTTAAGGCTCTGCCTTCAGCTGGAGTCAACCTCCGGGTCCTGGGATCCAACCCCATGTCGGGCTCCCAGCTCAGCAGGGAGTCTGCTTCTCCCTCTCCCTCTGCCTCTCTCTGTCTCTCTCTCAAATGAATAAATAAATAAATAAAAAAGCAAATACATTTTAAATTGAGGTTTTATAATGCATTTAAAAGAAACATATAAAACAATAATACAAAAGATGGAGTGGGGGCAGATGAATGGAATTACACTGTCATAAGGTTCTGACATCTGTGAAGTGTGATGTATGAATGGGAAGTGTAAAGTAATGTGTGTGAAATGTGCAACTGTGAACTCCAGCTCTGGGCTGGTGGGAGGGGAGAAGAAAACTAGGGACAGTGTGAAGGGGCATACAGGGATCACTCTTAAAGATATAATATCATATGGATATAATACTGATGAATCTTAGCAATAATTTAAGGATACATATTATTAATTCTAGAATTATAGAACACTACACCAAACAATTGCAGAATACACATTCTTCTCAAGCACACTGGGAACAATCATTGAAGATAAACCATATGCCAGGCTATAAAATGTTTCAGTAATTTTCAGAAGTTTGAAATCTTACAGAGTATGTTCTCTAACAACAGTGGAATTAAATTAAATGTCAATAATAAAGACATTCAGAAAATCCGCATTGGTAAGTGGGCTCTAGAATACTTGAATTGGAGAAGCTGGGGGTTAAGATATAGGGGGAGCATAGGAAGATTGCTTTTATCAGTGTGACATTAAATGAATATAATATTGATGAGTCATAGCAATGGTGAGTGACAAAAGTACATCGAGATGCTATGCCTCAATTCTGTCCCGTAGCAGTGAAAACTATGAAAACCTGCAATTGCTCCTTTCCTGATGTGAGGAATTCAGAGGCGTTGTTTTGAGAGTGAAGGAGCATGAGATCAAAGCAGTTTTGATTAATGAGTCACCACCTGGATACAAGGGGGCTATCAGCTGAAAAAAGGCCATTATTATTATGTGTATCCTTAAGAAGGGAAAAAAAAATGCTGTCAGTGAATTATTTGTAACCGACATCCTGTTTTCAGAAGGTTTAGAATCATTATCATATTGGATTAAATTTTCAATAAACTGAAAAAAAAAGTAAATGTGAACATTTTCAAATGGCTACAAGATATACCTTTTACCTACATGTCATTTGCCAGTTAAAGAAATAGCTAGCAGCTATATATTTGAAATTATATCCTCAAAATATTTGTAATATGTGTTCATCTTTCTTCCATGCACATGAAATAATTCTCTCTGTTCTTGTATCATCTGAAGAATATTTTGAGATATAATTTTATTCCAGGTTTCAGAGACAATTTTGCATTCGAGTAATCAAAAAAATCAAACAAACATAGGAATATGTATTTAATAATGTATGTCAGTTCTTCTCAGGGAGTTCATTCTGTATATGTGCTATATAGCTATAATTTCAAATATTACACAAATTAATGAAAAATATTTTTTATGGTTTATTAATTTTCTGAGTTTTGTAAAGGAAATTTTTCTTTAAGAAAAGCATACCCATTTTCAGGTTTTATTAAGTTGTTTCAATACAGTACTATGGGCTAAAACCAAAATTTTCAAGCACAGACTCTGGGGATAACCGGGATTTCTTAAATGAATTCACATGAAAAATCATTTCTTTACATGTTTTAAACAAAATTCACCTTAAATGCATCCCTATATTCTAGAATGACTGAACAGAAATAGTAATATGCGTATTTGACCTATTAAACAGCCATTTTCCAGCTACTCAGAGAGCTAATTTGGATATTTAAACTTTAAAATTTAAGGCAAAGAACTGCTGAAAAACATTAAATAATTTGATATTATATTTCTTATTTTAATATACCCAATGAATTTCATATATTTTGACAGAATCATAATTTCTGCAAATGATCCAAATTGGTAACCCCAAATTTCAAGCTATACGCATATTCATCTAGACCAAAGTGTTAGCTCATGTAATTATTAGATTCTAATTTATATTTCAACTTACCACAAATTTAAATGTAGCATGTCTGTCATTACATGGTAAAGAAATAAGCATATTCATAACATACATCTGGATGTTTTAATTTTATATTAAGCCATTTACTTCTTGTTCAATATCCCTAAGATACATTTTATTTCATATTAGCTTAGTTTGTACTTCATAATTTCTTCTAGTGTATATTTGTGCCTATGGGGAAATTTCAAATTATAAATGTTCCAAGCATTGGAGCAGAACTCTAAGTTAAAAAATAAACAACTGAGGCGTAGATAACATAAGACTCTCCTACTCCAAAGTGGAGAAGTTAACCAGAAACATTATGTTTTGGAGTTTAACTATTTGGATAAATACTTGTAAAACTACTTTGCAATAGTCCTATTCATATAGGGTAAGTGGGCAAGTGATCATTTTATAGAACAGTAAAGTGCTTGCAAAACAACTTACCAGGACAAGCTATCTCAAAAGAAAATGTTCAAGATAAGAAATTCAGTGGCAGAGACTCATTATTCATTGTTCTAACCTTATTTCCTCATTGAGGATAAAGTTTTGATGTGTATTCCTATGTATATGTAGCGCAGTATTTTCTACTGGATGCTTAACTAGATACCAAGGTGTAGAGTTCCAGAAATTTGAATGTATGCTTCAAACATCTGGAGCTATACATATGGGAAATATACAGCTGTGTTTATTTCAATGATTACACATTTACATGCATACAATACATTTATTTAAATGTATAATCTCTTATATATGTGAGAATATTTAAACAAATGCATTTGCTGTCCTTATTTGAATATGCAATTGAAAAAGGATTCAAATAAATAATTCACCACTTTTATTTAAATCTTACAGTATTTATTTATATAACGTACTTATTAATATACAATCATAGCTCTTTCTTTTTAGTCTAAAACCAAATATTTTTAAAAGATTAAACAAACATAATGGTGATCATGAGTCATACAAATCAAGAAATTTTGTGGAGAGGTATTTACAGTTAGTGAGCTTTCAGAAGAATTTGAAAATTCAGCAGGACAAGAGAATAAATCATTTGCAATTGGAATGTTTCTTTTATTCCAACAATTTTATCATAGTATAGTGGACATTTTAATTGAATCTCAAAGCACTTGTCCAGAAGTATTGTTTTGTTTTTTCCTTTATTACTACTGTATTGGACAAGATAAATACTTCTGAGTATTGGTTTAATATAGAAGGAAAAAGGGTTGCACTATTTTAAAACCACACGCATACAAATCTGGTTAAGAGTATTAAGATAATCTCATTTAACTCTACCTTTATTTCTGGGAGAGAAATTTGCTGGGAGACCAGCAAATGTTTTAGGAGAAAAGAAAATAAAATTACATTTTGGATTCACTTCCTGGCCTGATATCCTGAGAGATTTCAGAGACCTTCTAGTTAGTCTATTTATACTTGTCTCAGTCCTTCTTTATTCTGTAATTCTGTATGCTATTTTCTTTCTCAAGGGCTTTTTTTTTTTTTTTTAAGCTATGACGGGTTGGCCCATAGGAAAATAACTTACACTAGGGCAAGAGAAAAATTGAAAGATTAAATTGGAAATCGCATACTTTTTTGAAAGAATTTTAAATTCAATTTACCACAGTATAAAAAGTAATGACTACAGGCACTTTTTCATGTGTTGAATGATTGAATAAATGTAACATATCTGAGCCTCAGTTTCATTGTTCATAGGCCTTGGATAATAAGAGCTCTGTTGGGTGTTGAGAGGAGTACATGATTATTAGGTATAAATCATTCAACTGTCAAATGCTTTCCAAATAATAACTTAGTATTTCATTCCCATTTCGTAGACGTGAAAACTGAATACCTGGACATACCGCCAAAGTTTTGTTGTTGGTCATGTTTCAGGAACCACTTTTCCTAAATTGATTAATCTGTGAAAAGCTTCAATCTGCAAACAATGATTTTTTCAGAGATGGTTCATGCTTCCTCCAAGGGATGCTCCCCGGAGAGTGGGGATGGGGAGTGTGTGTTAGGTGAGAAGGCTTCAACAATCAAAATAATGTATAATTGTGTTTTATATTTATAAAACAAGTCATAGTCCTTCTTTCTTTTTTTTTTTTTTTAAGATTTTATTTATTTATTTGAGAGAGAGAGAATGAGAGAGAGCACATGAGAGGGGGGAGGGTCAGAGGGAGAAGCAGACTCCCCGCCGAGCAGGGAGCCCGATGCGGGACTCGATCCCAGGACTCCAGGATCATGACCTGAGCTGAAGGCAGTCGCTTAACCAACTGAGCCACCCAGGCGCCCCCATAGTCCTTATTTCTAATTTCATTTCGTGAGTCAAGTATTGGAGTTTGGGACTCCACGCTAGAGGAAGGAAAGGCTAGAGGAAGGAAAGGCCGTAGGGCCAGCTCCTTTACGTCCGGGACCCGCGCAGAGGCGGGAGAGAGACTGACCAATCGGAGCGCGGGCTGGGGACTGGTCCCGTCCCTTTCCGCCGAGCCCCGCCTCTTTTCGTACCGCCCTTTGGGATTAAGGGAGTGCGGCTGGCTCGTCCCGCCCCTGCCTCTGAGTGACAGGACCGTGGACAGCAACATTTCCAGCCGGACACGAAGTTTGTCGGCCCTTGCCTTGGCTGAGCTGAGGTGTGTGTGTCCGGCGAGGGCGAGGGGGCTGGGGAGGCCCTGCCAGGGAAGCTCGGGGTCCGGGACTGAAAGTGGGCGCACGTCCTTAGCGAGCCCCCAAAGCGTTTAGGAGATGGTCGTTCCGCCCCTGAGAGCGGCACTGGGGTGGGCTGGGTGGAGGGAGGCTCTGGAAGAGGGGGAACCCGAAGCCCGGGAAACCCAGTATGTACGGTAATAACTTAAGGACCCCTTCTGGCGAACAGGACGCTCGCGGTGGGGGTGGGGATGGCGGATCTGGTGTTGGGGTGGTGGGTGGGCGTGGCCGCCGCTGTTGCTAAGGGACGCACGGTTCCCGCCCTGCCAGCGTGTCTGGCTGGGGCGCTGGGCCCTGGAAATTTTAGTCCCGCCCACCTCCGGAGACCTCTCACTTGGCTAGGGATTGGCTCCCTTGTGCTGTCAGTTAATTCGCGTCCGTTTATTTTACTGTCCATCTCTCCGGGTCTGTAGTTCCTCTGGCCTCCCTTTCCAGTATTACTCCTCTCCGTACTTTCCCCCGCCTTTCCTTCTTTATAAGTATCTGCAGACCAAAACGTTTGCAGAGAAGAGCTTTAGGGAGCGTGAGATGGCTTTATTTGCACGGAGGAGGGGGGTGCTAGGGTGGGATGCGGAGAGGATCTTTGCTTGGTGCTTGGTGAATCCCTGAACCCACAAAGTGTTGGTGTCCATGTGGATGGCTAGGAAAATGGGGATAGGAGATCTCGTTTCTTCTACCTAGAATTCTTTTTCTCGCTGGTGCCCGTTTGAGCACAGTGAGCAGCTCAGGAAGTTGAGGCAATTTATTTTTGGACAGGCCCCAATAGATGATCACCGTCTCTTCTGTGGAGAGTGGGTGATATTAAGCGTATAAAGCTCCTTTGCTTCATTGATCCACATTTAATGATTAACTGTAAGATGGTAACCACAGATAACCACTTCAGATCTCTTTGCTCATAACAGTTGGTCCCAAATGATTCAGCAGAACAAACATTCCGGAGAGAAAACACAAAAGGAGCTAAAAATCTGATTTTACTTCCTTCTGCTAGGTTTACGGTATAAATCCCCAAGAAGGAAGTCTGTACTGCTTGATAACACTGGGGAGAACCTTGGCCTATAAGACAGAAAACTGGCAGGGTTAGGAAATATTGTCCTTGGGCAATAACCTTCATAACTGTTTTCTCATCTATAAAGTGGGGCTACTGTGCCCTTTGTTCCTAAAGAGTAAGAAGGAATCATTGATTATTAATGATCTAGACAGATGTGAAGTGTTATTGATTACACTTTATCTTTTTGTCTGTATGATCTGAATTTGTAAACAGAAGTATGACTGTTCAGCTTAAAGTATTTTCAGACTTCCCTTGTGACTTCTTTTATCATTGGGTAATTTAGAATTGAGGAAGAAACTCATTTGTCTATTTCTTACTGATTCTGTGATAGTTCTGGTTACATAGCACCTTAAATGTCTTGCATGACACATTTTCCCCCCCTTGATTGACATCACTAGGTTTTTCAAAGTATATACATAGCCTGAAAGGATTGGGAAAGATTACCTTCTAATCCAAAGATGAATAACCTTTATGGTGTCATATACTACTTTGAGAAGCCAAGGAAAGCTATTGACTCTCCCCTTAGAGAAAGACACAGTTGGAAGCATAAGTGGTCTTGGATTAAGATCCTGTTTTGGATCAACTTCTTGAGGGATAAGGAAATTACTCTCCCCCTTGCCTCATCCCAAAGATAGACTGAGTATATAGTGGGGAAAAGAATTGGGTCTTTTCCTTTTCTTCCACAATGCATTTTACCATAGCTTACTTTAATTCAGAATCTTAAACCAATCCTTTTATTTTTTTTACTATGTAATAAAAAGGAACTACCAATAGACTGTTGCTGTCTTTTCAAAACCATGTAAGCTATAATTTTTTTCAAATGTCCTTTGATCATTCTCTTAAAGGATATTATATTTAAGCAAGTGGAAAGAGAAATTTCAAATATTTTGAGAAAATGTTAAATTGTATTTTTGAAATAAACATTAAATACATAAACTTTCTCTTCTATCAAAGTCGACCAAGAAAAACTGATTATGTTTAGCATATGCCACTTGAATACTATAACCTGACTCCTAGACTCTTTTCTTTAACTTAAGTGAGTCAGCTTTTATGCTATTTTAATTTCTTGTGGCTAAAAAATATTTTGGTTGGTTCCACTGTGGCTCTTTTCCTGATTTCTCTGTTTAAATAAAAGACTATAGGTAGAGTTATTTTGTTCGCTAAATTTTCTTTATCTAGGTTTATCAATAGAAGTGGGCATCTGTAGTAGATAGTATCATTATATAGGGAAAACATTGAAAAAAGAAAATATATATTGTTTTGTAATAAACACAGGAGTATATAGGAGCACTTGTTTTCTTTATTAGCATTTATAATTTCATTTGAACTGTTTAGTTTTTGACTATTCCTTTCTTAACTCCATTTCTGGTAGAGAAGCTGGTACAAAGACAAATGGAGTAAACATTCTAATGAAATTAAAGTTTTTAGAGCCTCAATAAATAATAGCTTTTTTTCTCTCTTGAGTTTGTAAACAGGTGGAGTTTACCATATCAGCTTCATTACTAAATAGTTGATTGGGCATAATGCTTTGGATAGGAGACCAGAAATGAGTACTAGTACTTCCTGCCCCTTTCTATCTCCACTTCTTTTCTCAGAACCTGCAATTCAATGAGGGAAAATTTCAGTTTGCAGAAAAGATACATTTACCCAGAATTACTGATATGCGTGGTCCAGGGCAGAGAGTGAAGTGAAAGAAGGAAAACCTCTAGAATTTACAGGTTTACAATAGCTAATATCTACCCATTGGAGTAATATGGACCAATGGATTTCAGCCCTCAATCAGATAACTCTCCTGTTGGGAAGCTGCAAATAAGGAGTGGGATCTGAGGCCAGGACAGTTAACCTAGTGCTCTGATTTTCCACCCTGGGTGATCCCTTTGGGCCATTTGAAATAAGTGGAGGTGTTTTTAAATTATTTCTATGTGTTTAAAAGTTACTGGCTTTTGGAGTCCTGTGTAATCTAGAGGTCCAGCTCAATGAAGAATTTTCTTCCCCCACTCCAATGTCAAAAATATCTCCTTTGAGAACTACTGTTCCAGTGAAGTTCCTCCTCATGGAAACATGAGGCTAGGCCAGATTTTTCTGTCTTTGTTCCTCTGTATTCGTATTTTTTATATCAATAGATTTGGCTCTAAGTGCGAAGGTTTTAATAAAAATATTGCTTAGAAAATTGTCATTTTTTTTTTAAAAAAAAGAAAATTGTCATTTTTTGGTATTCTTCCAGAATGTCTAAAACAATATTAATGGAAAATAGTGATACATATTTTATAATATTTGATATCCTCAAGACATTTCTAACTGAACCGATAAGGATCATAGAGTCCTAGAGCTAAATCTTTTCACACCTGTTATATCCATACTTGTTAAGTATCTTTGCAACAACAGAGTGAAATAGGTATATATTTTCATGAAAAAGAAAAGATGATTTCTTAGCTTCTTAATTTGGAAATGTTAAACAATAGAAAGATAAATACTCTGTACTCAGAGGTTTAGCAAATTCTGTTTTGTTGAATCAGAAGGTGGAGACAGTTCCATAAGTGAGAGGATCTTATCAATTTCATGGTTTTCAAGCCACTGAACATGGAGAATGACAATAGGAATAAAAAGAAGCTTAGTTCTTCCACAGTAGTATTATGTGGTGACATGGTTGCAAAAATAGCAGACTAATTAGACTGAAGAAATTAAAATTTTGGCAAAGACAAAAGGAAGATGGTTTAACCCAAAAAACTTTTTAACATAGATATTAAAAATATTTGAATATTACAGGATGTAGAATAATAAATTATATGGATATCTGTGACAAAATCCTACTTGTGGATTACAGTTTATAACTATACTAGGTAGAAGGTGTACTGGACTGAAAGTTTTAGGCTTGGTTCCAGCAGTAGATACATTATTTTGGGTGGGGTGGGAGGTGGTTTATCATGTTTCAGGCATCAAGTTCCTTATATGTGAATATATACAGTTGAAGATTTGTGATGTTCTTCCATTTTTATGAAGAATGTGCTTGAGCATTATAATACATTCTCATTATTCACAGTGGTTCAATATACACTGAATCTCTCTGGGCAGAGGTATACCAGATTGTTTTTTCAGGATGGAAAGTTATAATTTAAAAAAGAATCAGTTTCTGATTCCATTTTGTCATTTCCTAGGTTTCCATTCTTTGCCTCTTCTCCTCTCCTCAACATCTCCACCCCACCCCCATACATACCTACATATATTTGGAAAAGATTGGACTAGGTAGAAATGATCTGTATAGTTTCATTCAATGCCAAAATATTCTGGATAGGTTTAACATCTGAAATGAATGGAACAAAAAAAAAATCCCACAAATCTAAGGAAAAGGTAATCATCAGAAGATTCAGTGACATACCTGTGAAAATCAAGAATTTTAAGCTATGGAAGAACATTTGAGGAAATTCTTTGCAAGAATTCATGGCCTCTATGGATAGAAGAACTCCATATAAAAAGGACAGATACTGATTAAGCGACAGTAGGAAGATCAAAAGGTAAAACAAAAAGATGAGGAAAAAACTAAAAATGAGAACTGTATTAGTTTTATATTCTTTGCTTTAACAAACTGCCTTTAAAAACCGCAAATTCATTATCTTATAGATCTGTAGTTCAGAAGTCTAACATAGTTCTCACTGGGCGGAAATCAAGGTATCAGCAGGGCTGCATTCCTTTCTGGAGGCTCTGGGAGGGGATCTGTTTACTGGAAAAAAAATACATACCTAAACCCTTCATCAGCTGACTATGATCCATGGCCTACCTAAATCTGGCTCACTGCTTGTTTTTGTATGGCCCGTGAACTAAGAATAGTTTTTGTATTTTTAAGTGGTTGGGAAAACAAACAATACTTTGTGATGTAAACATGA